ATATAGGAGAAATACTAACTAGTATCATGAAGGTTGAACAAATGAATAAACACACAGAGTAATATTTTATTGGCATGGTGAATAATAGACTCTTCATTTCCATTCCTTCACATTTTCTTCTTGTCCTTTGGAATGGATTTTGGCATTCTGTGACATAAGTATCGTTTTCCAATATTTTTTTTTCAATTCACGGCATATATTTGCTCATTTTTCAGCTACTTTGTACGATTTACAGTATGGTCGAAAACTTTGTTTTGGGAAACGAACGGACATTCATGCGCGCGCGGATGTCATCCATATAATCAAATCAGCATGAGTGGCAACCAATAAACACGCCTGTTTCACTCAGCGGCAATGTGACGTTTGGACTTTTCTTCTTTTCAAACGGTGGCGAGATTTTTTCAACGACAGTCGTAGCTAAGCCGGTCGCACTTTGTGCATAACTGGATTTTCGCGGACGTTTGTGTAAAAACAGGCAGGTTGAATGAATGTTTAGACGAGTCAAGTAGCGTGTTTATGCTTGTAGCGCCACCTCCTTCCGCACGGAAAGGCTAAGAGGTTTGTATCGACGTTAGAAACAAACTACAAATAGCCCTTTTTGGTCGCCCACTGGAAGCAGTCTTGTTGGAGCGCGAAACCTTCTCTCAGGGGCAAAAACTCCCTAGCCAGCAAAATCGTCCCTCGCGGACGTATATTACTCACGTCGCTCACAGAAAAAATAACGCCGACGCCCAACGCTAGAAATGATCATAATTCAATTAGAATTTACAAAAAGGAATTCTCCTGTGTCTCTCGGTCAGATCCGTGAATAGTTTCATCGGTCTCTTAGTCAGGTTAGGAGGAGCAACACAGTCAGTGACAAATCGGTGTGTCCTTGTGGATAGATCTTTTGGAAGCGTACGCGTACTCCAACTAAATCTACTCTCCAAGCAGAGGTTGATGGTGGAAGATCGTTTGCTTTTTATATATGGTCTGTTTTATTTTGTCTCTAACACCACCAAATCAAATTGGCCAGTCTGTAACCATTTCCCCACCCAAGTTGGTAGAGGTAGAGACAAAAAAACCCGGACCATATATAAAAAAACAAACGATCTTCCACCATCAACCTCTGCTTGGAGAGTAAACTAAATCTACCCATAAAGATAGGTTTACTTTCGTCGTTCCCACCGTTTTGTGAATGGAATCGTCCGGAACTATGGAAACCCCCTGAGTACCAAACACCTGAGTCTACGTGACATAAAAGGCGCGGCCGCGCCTGTGGACTTCCTCTTTCGCTGGTGCCAGTCGCGAGGTAAGGCCGTTAGTGCTTCCTATAGCTGGGTATAACGTAAAGGTTATACACAGGCGAAGCTGCTTTCCTTCACTTTTAGCGCAGATCCGACAAGACTGAGGTGTTAGCCCGGTATCCAATAAATAAATAAATAAAGTCTATCGTGGTTGGGGCATAGTAGTTGGGGCAGGCTGTGTCTTCGGGGCTCTAATAGTTTCCCCCGCCCAGTACAACAGGCTGCCCGGTAGAAGTGTTACGCTAATAGAGTAGCCTCCACCGGGCCTTTCTACGGGAATACGGATCGTAGAATTCGGCAAAAAAAAAGACTAAAATTGGCCAAGGGAGTCCGGCCGCGGGAAGGTAGTTTCTTTCCCTCCTGCGCGGCCAGTCAAACCTACAAGGCGGCCAAACTCCCTTGGCAAATATTCTCTTATAGCCAGCGTAGTTAGTCTGGTAGAGACTCACTGCACGAAAACTTAGATTTACCGATACCTGTATAGTTGTGTAATGTTTACTTTGTTTTTTTTAATAAACACTTTACAATGGTAGTAAATGGTCAAGTAGGTAATACCGGACTTAAAAAAGGGGTTGTAAAGGAAACTACTGCAATTGACCTTTATTTACTTCCATTGTAAAGCCAGATACTGTGTACATAGTACCTGAGTTTACAACCTTTGGTAAATCCAACTTTTCGTTATACTAACAGAGTTGGCACGCCGTGGAGTTGATTTGCCCCATCACGAATCAAGCGGGGAAGCAGGCGGGGAAGAGCTCGAACCTGCAGCCCCGAGAAAAACCCGCCCCAACCACGATAAGACTGGATACCAGGCTAAACAGGTATGTGCGTACGTGACTGACAATGTGCACTGATCCAGAACGAGTCACTTCAACTGTACCTGTAACTGTACGTGTACACACCGCGACCGGGGCGGTAAACTAGTAACGAAAAGGTTTTGATGGTTCAGGTTCGAGTTCACATTTTTCAAATCTGTTGGAAAATGGCATTAACGGCTAAAAAGGTGTAAGACGTGGTGTGTTTGAGGTGAAAATTGAGGCTTATTTCCGTGTATCCTTCCGCCTTAAGTGCGGTGCTTTGATTTCCGTGTATCCTTCCGCCTTAAGTGCGGTGCTTTGATTTCCGTGTATCCTTCCGCCTTAAGTGTGGTGCTTTGGTTTGACCCAGATGCAAATTTACCTTTCATGACTTCTGTGGGTGCTGTCGCTATGCCTCGCGAGACGGGCTCTTTTGAAAATTCTATTATTGAACTTGTAGCTATAGAACAATCCTTCATTTCCAGACACAATGATTTTGCTTCAGGAGTATTTTCTGAAAGAGACAGGCGCTAGAGTTTAGGGTGTGCATAATCGAATTGTGTGCCCCCTATTCTGTTGTGAATAAAAATTTAATATATAAGGCACGCTGTTGTTCACTGATAGTTTCTGAGGTGGACAGTATGGAACAGTGAGAACTATTTGTTATTTTTTATATAATTACAGCTTTACTGTTGAGTAAACAGACGTCATCATCATGGCCCCCGCATATCAGGATCGCAGTTACCTCGTGCCTACGTAATAAGCCAACCTCGTTAACTGCACTAATCTGTCATTTAGAAGGCGTAAAGGATAAACCTTAAGAATAGTCGTGTTAAGTGCCTTTCCCAAGGACACAACGTCTAGCTAGGTGTGCATGGGGGGGGGGGCACACACGCCAGCTTTTAATATAGAACGGTAATGAATTTATCTTAAGGGCCCCGATAGACCATAGCTACTAACTCCGAGTTCTTTACCATAGTCGTCAAGAGAAACCGCCAACATGACAAGCACAAGCACTAAGTTGTCTACAGTGGTGGAAGAATTTGGGGAAATCGACATCTTCTTTAAAGGTGGTTTTGATCTGTACTATGTAGAGAAGGAATACGCACGTAAGCTGATTCACGCTATAAGTAGTCAGAATGTAGTCATGGAGTGTGAAGCGTTAAAAAGTCTCGGAGATCTGTACCTGCGCAAAGCAAAGGCGAAGAATAAGGCAGAGAACTTCCACAAGGCTTGCTCGCTGTATAGAGAACTCTTACGATATTACACTAGTCGTGAGAAAAAGCAAGTTGTACAACATCGCATCAAATATGCAGAGAAATGCACGAAACTGATCCATGAACAAGAGATTGTAGAAGCACGTGCTACAGATTCAGGCAATACGATATTGGCTGTAGCTATGACCCTACATGAAGTGGAAAAGAAGATCATGTTAAAAGGACGAGGTGCGGTCTCCATGATTGAAGGTTATACAGACACCTTAGTGCAAGCAATCGTGGAACGAAATAAACGCCTACAAATGGAGTCGTTGAAGGGTCTTGGAGATGTGTACCTAGAGAAGGGAAGAGCTGGCAAGGACGAGGCAATGTTCATGGAATCAGCTGGTCTGTACCGAGCGGCGCTGGACCGATGTGAAGATTCAGATTGCAGAGAAACTCTGGAGCACCGCATCAAGTACATGGAGACAGTCAAGGAAAAAGAACACAAGGTTAGGAAGTGCAACTATATGACACAAAATTCTATAAGACTTATAGAATTTTGTGTCATATATGCATATCACATTTTAGCGTGTTGTACAGATATGTGGGGCCTTCTTATTCGAGTGTTAAAGAGCTGTTCTTTTCTAAATGCATGTACAGTATATTAAACTGACGGTTGGAATTGTAGGCTTTAAATCCCTCTTTACCTGATATGCTAGTGCAGTGTTGTTCTTTAAATATACTAAGTTTGCATCTTCATTATATCCTCCTCTAAGAAGGCCGAGAAACGCCTAGAAACGGGACCGAAGAACAAGCTTGGAAACAGCAGTGAAGAGACACAGGACGTCACTGACAGGTTTGTGTGATGTTCACGTTGGTATGCACAGACAAATAAACTTAGATAAATACCATGCGAGGCGAGCATGTAGAATTGTATTGGGTAAGAACTACGTCAGCTATGATGCAGCCCTAGGCCAGCTGTCCCTTACCTCTCTGTACCAGAGACGAGTCCTACTCTGTAAGAAGTTTGCAGTGTCTTTATCAAGATCCCCTACTTTCTCCAGTTGGTTACCGCCTACACGTGCAATTGTACATGGCAGAGAACTCAGGTCCAAAAATCAAATCAGTCAATTTAGCTGCAGAACATCGAGATTTTAAGAACAGTACTTTACCTTTCATTGTAAAGTTACTAAATGATAGTTGACATGTTCATTGTGTAAGTCATGGTTGTATTGAATCGTTATAGCTGATTTTATATTGTTTAACATTGTTGTATTGAATCGTTATAGCTGATTTTATATTGTTTAACATTGTTGTATTGAATCGTTATAGCTGATTTTATATTGTTTAACATTGTTGTATTGAATCGTTATAGCTGATTTTATTTTGTTTAAATGTAAACAATAACCACAATTCAGCCGAAGGGCTGCTATGGTATCGTATTTGTATTTGTGTGGAAATAAATAAATAAACCAGTCATAAAATAATACCCAGTCTTGTTAGGTGTACATTTTATATCTCACTGCCTGTATTGATTAAGGTTACACCATACCGATAGTGTCTTCTTTTTCCACAGTACGTACCAAGACCAGTTACAGGAGGGCTGCAGGGCCCTGCAGACAGGGGACCTGGACAAGTCAGAAGGACACTTTGCAGCTGCGCTCAGGGCCGTTCATTTCAAAGGTGAGTACCAGCGTTTCAGTGACGTCACTTCTGCTAATTTAGTGAAGCTAATATATTTTAAAAAACACGATAATAGTAACGGTTGTGGGTTTGTGTACGACACACTGGGATAATCTCCAAGCAGATTCGGTGGGGCAAGGGGACTTATATT